ACGGGTTTATCTATGACAGCACATATCATGCACATTACGGGTTTATCTATGACAGCGCATATCATGCACATTACTGGTTTATCTATGACAGCGCATATCATGCACATTACGGGTTTATCTATGACAGCGCATATCATGCACATTACTGGTTTATCTATTACAGCACATATCATGCACATTACGGGTTTATCTATGACAGCGCATATCATGCACATTACGGGTTTATCTATTACAGCACATATCATGCACATTACTGGTTTATCAATGCCAGCGCATATCATGCACATTACTGGTTTATCTATGACAGCGAGAGCCCAGTCAGGCAGATAAATCAAAAAAATCCTTACCCATTAACTTTTTTTGAATTTTAATAGTTCTCTATAAATATGCGGAGGTCTCAAATTATCTTTTAAACATTTATTTGTTTGATATGTTTATTTAACTTATGTTTAATAAATAATTTAAGACTGTTTGCATGTTGATATTAGAATTGATTTCGTGATACGACGGTACAATATACAGGGTGGGCCAAAAGTCAGTGTGCAAACGTTTGGTCTTATACCTCCGCCGTGTTTTATATTTGAGAGCTTTTGCTTTGCAGATAGCATACTGTACCTTCTTGTTCGAGGATGCCGTCGCCAAAATTTGAAAATTCGAATATTTTAGACCACGTCCATTCAATATTAAAACCCCTATATTGTTCTCTCTGAACATGCTGGACGCCTAATTTTGTTTAGAGACGGTAGATTATTAAATGTTGCATATGAAAAAATTATGTGAAACAGATTTGAAATGAATGAGTTATCAAGCATTTAGTTTATCTTGTTAGCAAAATTGATTGGGTGATTATGTGACACGACACCTTAATTAGGCTACCTTCAAAATTCCCTCTCTGTAAATCTGATATCACGTAGTACATGCCATGCTTTAAGCGTGCTACCTGAACCTTAGGATTTAGGAATTATTAGAGAATTCCTGGCGGCAAATGAAGTGAAACATAACTGTCGCAAAAGAATAACTTTATTTAAAATATGCACACAATAATAAACAACAATAAATCTACAGATAATTCTCAATATGGCCTCCGTTCTTCTGTACGACCAACTTGCAGCGCACTCCACTGGAACATCTCTACAGATCCGGATACTTCACCAGCTGAAGGACTCCGACTACATACTAAGCGCACTCCACTGGAACATCTCTACAGATCCGGATACTTCACCAGCTGAAGGACTCCGACTACATACTAAGCGCACTCCACTGGAACATCTCTACAGATCCGGATACTTCACCAGCTGAAGGACTCCGACTTCATACTAACAACAAGACACAAGAAACTCCTATTTTCCCCCTGGTTTGATCAGAAATGCCAGACAGACCCGTTCAGGACAGTGCTCGTCCTCATAACTTCCAATAACTCATAACTTCCAAATTTAATAACAGAACTATCGGCGAAGGACTAGCTGAACCTTGGCCACCTCGTAGTCCAGACTACGGTCATCTGAAAAGCTGCAACTCTAATTTTTTTCAGGACAAACGTTATTCGAATGGCCAAACACAATTCAATAAAATTTAGCTCGATCTGACTATTATATTATATCCAAACTATCAAATAAATGCAAAAATTAACATTCATTTGAAAAAAAATGAACACGAATATTTTTCGATTCGACAAATTCCTCGAACCAGTGGTAATAGTAAGTCATATAATACCAGAAAGAATTATTTCAATTGGGCACTCAGTGACAGAGCTATTATTTATTAAGGCCAACGTTTGCACACTGACTTTTGGCCCACCCAAAGTTACATGAAAGTATTCAATATAACTAAAACTTTCCATCTATATTATTCACATCGTGTGTATTAAACAGTCGTTTAAGTCCTCTAACAAGAAAACAACATCCTCCATTCCACAACAGTCAATACAATGTACTATTATTTATAACCATTACGACCAGACCGTCATACTCCATCAGCTGATAAATCCAAAAATATCCCTTACGTAACTCTTTTGTAGTGCCGTGTCAAGATCCCACAGCTTGTATCCTCCAAAGATCATTGTGAATTTTGTATTTAACCTCTCAAATAAAAGGGCCACCACAATCATCCAGCGTCATGCGTACATTTGTAGATCATCACTTCAGCCCTCTCTCCCTCCCCCCTCTCTCTCTCCTCCCCCTCTCTCCCTCCTCCCCCTCTCTCCCTCTCCCCCTCTCTCCCTCTCCCCTCTCTCCCTCTCCCCTCTCTCCCTCCTCCCCCTCTCTCCCTCTCCCCCTCTCTCCCTCCCCCCTCTCTCCCTCCTCCCCCTCTCTCCCTCTCCCCCTCTCTCCCTCCTCCCCATCTCTCCCTCTCCCCCTCTCTCCCTCCTCCCCCTCTCTCCCTCTCCCCCTCTCTCCCTCTCCCCCTCTCTCCCTCTCCCCTCTCTCCCTCCTCCCCCTCTCTCCCTCTCCCCCTCTCTCCCTCCCCCTCTCTCCCTCTCCCCCTCTCTCCCTCTCCCCCTCTCTCCCTCCTCCCCCTCTCTCCCTCCCCCCCTCTCTCCCTCCCCCCTCTCTCCCTCTCCCCCTCTCTCCCTCCCCCCTCTCTCCCTCTCTCCCTCCCCCCTCTCTCCCTCTCTCCCTCTCTCCCTCCCCCCTCTCTCCCTCTCTCCCTCTCTCCCTCTCCCCCTCTCTCCCTCTCCCCCTCTCTCCCTCTCTCCCTCTCTCCCTCTCCCCCTCTCTCCCTCTCCCCTCTCTCCCTCCCCCCTCTCTCCCCCCTCTCTCCCTCTCTCCCTCTCTCCCTCCCCCCTCTCTCCCTCTCCCCCTCTCTCCCTCCCCCTCTCTCCCTCTCCCCCTCTCTCCCTCCCCCCTCTCTCCCTCTCTCCCTCTCTCCCTCTCCCCCTCTCTCCCTCTCTCCCTCTCCCCCTCTCCCCCTCTCTCCCTCTCCCCCTCTCTCCCTCTCCCCCTCTCTCCCTCTCCCCTCTCTCCCTCCCCCCTCTCTCCCCCCTCTCTCCCTCTCCCCCTCTCTCCCTCCCCCCTCTCTCCCTCTCCCCCTCTCTCCCTCCTCCCCCTCTCTCCCTCCCCCCTCTCTCCCTCCTCCCCCTCTCTCCCTCCTCCCCCTCGTAGCATTGTGCCACAAATCCACAGCTTGCACAGCTTGTATCTCCTCTTTGTATCTCCTCCTTGTATCTCATCCTTGTATATCCTATTTGTATCTCCTCCTTATATCTCCTCCTTGTATCTCCTCCTTGTATCTCCTCTTTGTATTGCCTCTTTGTATCTCCTCTTTGTATCTCCTCCTTGTATCTCCTCTTTGTATATCATCTCTCCCTCCCCCCTCTCTCCCTCTCCCCCTCTCTCCCTCCCCCTCTCTCCCTCTCCCCCTCCCTCCTCCCCCTCTCTCCCTCCCCCCTCTCTCCCTCCTCCCCCTCTCTCCCTCCCCCCTCTCTCCCTCCTCCCCCTCTCTCCCTCCCCCCTCTCTCCCTCTCCCCCTCTCTCCCTCCCCCCTCTCTCCCTCTCCCCCTCTCTCCCTCCCCCCTCTCTCCCTCTCCCCCTCTCTCCCTCCTCCCCCTCTCTCCCTCCCCCCTCTCTCCCTCCTCCCCCTCGTAGCATTGTGCCACAAATCCACAGCTTGCACAGCTTGTATCTCCTCTTTGTATCTCCTCCTTGTATCTCATCCTTGTATATCCTATTTGTATCTCCTCCTTATATCTCCTCCTTGTATCTCCTCCTTGTATCTCCTCTTTGTATTGCCTCTTTGTATCTCCTCTTTGTATCTCCTCCTTGTATCTCCTCTTTGTATCTCCTCCTTGTATCTCCTCCTTGTATATCCTATTTGAATCTCATCCTTGTATCTCCTCCTTGTATCTCCTCCTTGTATCTCCTCTTTTTATCTCCTCCTTGTATCTCCTCCTTGTATATCCTATTTGAATCTCATCCTTGTATCTCCTCCTTGTATATCTTCCTTGTATCTTCTCCTTGTATCTCCTCCTTGTATCTCCTCCTTGTATTGCCTCTTTGTATCTCCTCTTTGTATCTCCTCCTTGTATCTCCTCTTTGTATCTCCTCCTTGTATCTCCTCCTTGTATATCCTATTTGAATCTCATCCTTGTATCTCCTCCTTGTATCTCCTCCTTGTATCTCCTCTTTGTATCTCCTCCTTGTATCTCCTCCTTGTATCTCCTCTTTGTATCTCCTCTTTGTATCTCCTCCTTATATCTCCTCTTTGTATCTCCTCCTTATATCTCGTCCTTGTATATCCTTACCTTATACCTGCTACACATTACCTTATACCTGCTACACATTACCTTATACCTGCTACTGCACATTTGACATATTGTTATATTCTGATAGGTTACACCGAGTCATTTGTTACATTTTGTCAGTCACCATGGCAACCGCTGAATAATGTCACTCCGGCGTTCCTCGCTTAGTGCACTTAACAATTTAAAGTAAGTTTGGAAGAGTGGACATATCATAAAGCGTGTATAATGTATATAGCGTGTATTTAGTTAGGTTTGTGGACATATCATAAAGCGTGTATAATGTATATAGCGTGTATTTAGTTAGGTTTGTGGACATATCATAAAGCGTGTATAATGTATATAGCGTGTATTTAGTTAGGTTTGTGGACATATCATAAAGCGTGTATAATGTATATAGCGTGTATTTAGTTAGGTTTGTGGACATATCATAAAGCGTGTATAATGTATATAGCGTGTATTTAGTTAGGTTTGTGGACATATCATAAAGCGTGTATAATGTATATAGCGTGTATTTAGTTAGGTTTGTGGACATATCATAAAGCGTGTATAATGTGTATAGCGTGTGTAATGTATAAAGCGTGTATTTAGTTAGGTTTGTGGATGCTGCATGGGTTTAAACGTGTAACTCATGTAAAGTTTTACTGTAACGCCTGTAACGATCGACTGTAACGACGTGTAACACTGTAACGCATCATCTCTTGTATGGTCTATGATTACGAACTACCATATTATTTGATTATTGATGAGACTATTCTGGCAGGGCGGTTGCTAAGAGACGGAAAACCCGTACACAAGATGACAAGAGTTGGGGGAGTGATGGAGCTATCGATCAAAGTAAGTGTCTAGCTTAGGTACATATTTTACTTATTATCTTTAGTAAAGTGACAAAACATGTACCTATTAGTTATTATTTTATAATAAGTACCTACAAAATAGTTGTTAGTTTCCATTTTTGTGGCAGCAGTTTGTGTGAACCTACGTATTATTAGATACAATATTAAACTTGAACTTTGAACCTTGCGCGCGAAATACGCGCGCACGTTCATGGCAACGGAGCTGAGTTGCCATGGTTACTATGGAGTTGCCATGGTTGCCATGATAAACTTGGTTAACATAGTCATTCCTGGTTACATCAGGTAGTTGTAAATATGCCTAATTGCTTACCACACAACATCATAGCATTTAGCGACACATCACCTGTCACGCTGGTTAACCTTGTTCCTGTTAATTATCGGAAGTTATAATTTTGAGGCAAGGGAGAAAAACTAAACTTGCTAGTTACAGTAGTAGTTGCTGGTGTTTATTGTTAATTTTTGGCTCAGTGCCTGTTTTTTTGTCTCTATCCGATTACTGTCGTTCTATATTATATAACACTTTGTTTCTCTTGGTTTCTACTGTGAGCAGTTTCCGTGGTAACAGTAGTAGTGTGAATGTTTGTGGTAATTGATTAGGTAATTACTAATTAGCGATGTTAGAATCAGTGGTTACCTGTGTATAATCAGGTGCCTGTCCCTAATAAGGAATTATAAGATAATTTTAACATTGAGCCATTGTTAAACACAAGCAAACATTTCCTGTAGTACACGCCTCTTAGTTAGACTTTGTTAAACACAAGCAAACATTTCCTGTAGTACACGCCTCTTAGTTAGACTTTGTTAAACACAAGCAAACATTTCCTGTAGTACACGCCTCTTAGTTAGACTTTGTTAAACACAAGCAAACATTTCCTGTAGTACACGCCTCTTAGTTAGACTTTGTTAAACACAAGCAAACATTTCCTGTAGTACACGCCTCTTAGTTAGACTTTGTTAAACACAAGCAAACATTTCCTGTAGTACACGCCTCTTAGTTAGACTTTGCTTGAGATATTCAGCTCTCGTTTTGAGATCGGTTCATATCAGCCTTGTTGTGGATAGTTATAAGTAGATATTAACGATAATTAGTTCTAATTTTCACCCTTCACAATACGTGGGTTGTACAGTGAGTTGCTATGTATCGTATGCTATGTATGTGACTCTACTCTATTGTACTTTGCTCTACTGTATCTTTGTGTACATAATAGATTTCTTTTACTGATATTTCTTTTTATTTTATCGAGTTAATTCGAACTTAGACTCTGGAAGCTGGAACTTTTCACCGAGCGTTAAGCGTAAATTTCTGCGCAGAATTGTGTTCCCAGGCGTTACATGAAGTTTTATTTTAATTTGTGATAGCAACGTTACTTAAACTTAAGATCTGAGAGTTTCTCCAGAACAGAGTCCATCTTGAGCCGTACAGTCGGTAGATTTAGCTCATCAGAAGAGGGAACTAAGGCTACACTAGGTACACAGGTATAAGAGGTGGTCACTACTCACTAGGATACCACACTACCACCACACTAGGAAGCAGGCAACAGATAAATAAGTATTCTGGTAGAGTTCAATAAACTGATGAGTTTCTGATGAGCGACTACGTTAATGTTCTGAAGAAACTTTAAGATTCTGAAATTGCTCTGAATGTCTTGATGATAATGAAAATACTGCCTCGATGTTTTATAATCGCTATGATAAGTTTGCTATTACTCATTTCTTTTTTTTTAACATTTAAAATATAATTTGGAACATTACAGTAATGTTATTCAAATCTCAAATAGAAAAATTATATTTCAAAGCTTTGTGTTTTGATCATATTATGATCGTGGGTGTATAGTGATGTTGATTGCATTATTTTGATTTGGCAGTGATGGTGAGTGAGAAAATGTTGTGAGTGCCAGCCAGTAACTCTGTCAAATGAACATCCGACTGAGGAGTGGGTGAGCGCAAACGTGAAAACAGCAGAGAGGGCGGCACAAAACGGCCACGGAAAAGACACAGAAACTAAGCCTTGCGCGGTAAGTTAGCCAGTGTCTGAGAGCCGGTGTTGCCCGGCAGGAGGCCTTCAAGTTAGGTACCGTGGTGAACTGTGGAGGTAAAGTCGAGAGTAAGACAGTAACTAGGGGGGGGGGGGGTACTGTTACAGCCTCTAACTGATGATAATCGCACTACAGTACGGGAATCTAGTTACTAGTTAAACTCATAGACAAAACCATCCGTGGCTGACTACCCCGTACGTAGGCAGTGTCCCGTGTCCGAGATTTCAGGCATCAGGATACACTGAAACAGAGCTGATTACGACCAGGATTCTCACGGATACCCCGCCTCGGAGCCAATGCCCTGCTTTCGATACTTATGTCTACTGGTGGAACCTTCATATTTTCTCTACTAGCAGTCACTGTAACCCTATCACTCGGAAGGCCCCACAGCTCCTACATGGATGCACGGTCGGGAGCCCATGTAGGGATAAAAGTGACTGCAAGCTTTCCATCACATCCATCACAGATTCAAAGCTGGGAGGAGAAAAAGAGAGGACAGGAAAAAGAAAAAAAGAAAAAAGATGAATAAAATACTGAAAAAGGAAACTAGTTATCTGCTTTCAGACTGTCTTTGAAGTTGAGGGTTAGTCTGTAGATCTTGTTAATGGTGCTGGTCGAGAGTTTGATCAAACTTACGTCCTCATCACTGAGATTATCCTTGCGATCGGGCTGCGACATGAACGTGGAGGCAAGATTGAAGCTACCATTACCGACATTGTTGAGTAGATTTCCACTGAGATTTTGAAATTTGTCCCTTGGATTTTTCCCTAGGGGGCAGAAATGGAGCATATGATTCTCGTCCTCGATGAATAGCTGGTTGGTGTTCAGCTCGCAATAGTTGCTACTTGCAGGTCCTTTCTTCAAGTGGAGTTTTGTCTCCCCCTTTCAATTATAAGGTGATGAGAACTGGACCGAATCTTTGTGGTTGCCCTTCTGTCCTGGAAAGACCTAGCGTGGATTAGATAGGGCTCCCATGCAAATTCTGTTTTGTCACTGTAGAATGATAGCTTTCTAGAATCTTTCACAAGAGAACCCCAGGAATCGCGGAACTGTTTTTGCAGGTTCTCTGTGATTAATTTAGGACTGCAGGAGTCCGCGAGGAAGGTTTCTTTCAACAGCGATGATGAATTCCTTTCAAGAAGGTCGATGTTGTTGAATGACTTAATGACTGATTCGATGCCTACAAACCATGACAATTTGAGGTCAATCTGCTCAGTCATTGCAGCTTTGACTAGTTGTGTAGAGGGGAGGCTCATAACTCTTTTGAAATATTTAGTACTCAGTTTCAACATTTCAATAATTGGGTATGAGCCAGTTTCTCCCCAGGCTGTAGCATCGACTGCCCTTCTGTTTATACCAAGAAGGTATTTCAGGTGTTGTAGGGGCACTTGCTCAAGTTGCTGTTTAGCGATGTGAGAGACCGCATGATCAAGATTGTGAAACTTGCTGAAGCTAGAAAGGACCTTACTGACGGTGGGTAGAACCGGGGCCCAAACTTGACAGCCGTAAAGTAGAATTGGCTTAACAAGGGTCTTAAATAATTTGTTGATGCAGGATGCATCAACGAATCTCCGGTCTAAAGTGCTTCTCAAGCTGAAGTAAGCTCCAAGTCCTTTACGGTAGAGAGAGTCAATTGCTTGCCGAAATTTCCCTGTGCTGCTTATAATAATTCCAAGATAGCAGTAGCTGGAGAGCATGATCTCGATATCTCTGTCGTGAATGGAAGGACGCCAGTTTGGAATGTCTGGTCCTTTAGCGTTGAAGACCATGAATGGATATGTTGATTTCCAGACCCCATTCGTTACAGTAGTTCCCAATAATCGTAAGCAACTTTTGGAGGGACTCAGGATCTAGGGCAAGTATAACTAGATCATCAGCCCACCCTAGGTGAGTCACTGAAAGTCCAGCAAGTGTTGGGCAGTTCGCAGTAGCTTCGTTAAGGAGGTCAGAAAGCTTTTTAAGGTAAACTTTGAAAAACTCGGGGCTAAGTGGGTGTCTTTGTTCAGTCCCTTTGAGGATATTGAATGCCTCACTGATTTTACCATTCATCTTGATATGACTCTCTGATTTGCTGTACATATCTTTGGTGATGTCGTAGTAGCCACCATTGACGCCAAAGCAGGCTAGTTTGAAAATAAGGGCTTGTATGCAGACTCGAAAGAATGAAGACTGCATAGATTTTACTCTTAAACTTCTTGTACTTTTCAATGGTAGACATCAGCGTAAATATATGATCGTTGCATAAGCTTCCTTTGGTAAAACCTGCTTCGTTAGGTGGATCAGGATGAGAAATTTGGCGGTGAGTAACAAGCCGAGATAGCAGCATCGCAGAGAGCAGTTTTCCGATACAGCTACAAACTGCTATTGCTCTATAGTTGTCAGGGTTCCTGATGCACCCTTTTTTGTCTATTGGTGTGATCACACTTTTTTTCCAGAGGTAAACTCCTGTCTCCAGGCACAAATTGAAGAGTTTGAGAAGGAGCGACCTCAAATTTACGCTCAGACCCTGCGCCGGAGCATTTCGTTGCTGATGATAAAGAAGATGCTCTGATTTGAGGTCGCCTAGCGCAGCGATCAGCTCATCCAATGTAAATGGGCTGTTCAGTGACTCATTAGGAGCAGATCCCTCGGATAGGGCGTGGGCTTCTTCGAGGAGAGCTCTTTTAGTGAGGGTGTCTACGGTTTTTTTAAATAAATCTCACACTCATTTTACTTCGGAGTATTACAATTGTAACCAGCCAATTACAGGAAGCCGAAGGATTCATTTGGCCAGTGACGGTTAAGGTAGTGTGTACCATACTTTCTTCGCCCGAGACATTGCTGCAATGGGTAGCTCCTCATTTAACCCTCACACCCGATTTCTCGAGTATTCGGCTGAGTAGACCGGGGGGCTGCATAGACCACTCAGGATCCTTAGCATATGATTCTCGTCCTCGATGAATAG